CCTTGAGATGCTTGGGGGTGTCCAATAATGCCTCATTTAGTTTCCATGTGCCTCGTCCTCTAGCGGGATGGGGTGTTTTCATTGTGATTATCATGGGTGCGTGGTCTGACCAGGTGATGGGCCCAATCTGCGCTTTAAGCGCATGTGGTATGGTGCGTTTGTCGAAAAGACACAGGTCTATTCTGGAATATGTCATGTGAGGTTGTGAATAGAATGTGTAATCCCTATCTGTGGGGTATAGATTTCGCCACACGTCATAATAATCATGAGTGTGTAGTAGGCTGGAAAGGTGGGTTCCCAGGGAGATCGATCTGCTCTTTGGTGTTTTATAGTTCGTTCTACACATGTCCATGTGCGGGTCTGGTGAGCAATTAAAGTCTCCACAGATCAGTGTGTGGCCCTGCTTGTACCGATCTATTTTCCGGAAGGCCGTGGTCAGGAAGGATTTCTTAGAGTCATTCGGGGCATACAGAGATGCCACCGTTATCTGGAGGCCGTTTAGGGACCCCACTAGTATCAGTAGCCTCCCATCTTTGCCTGTGTATTGTTTGGTGAGGGAGAATGCCCAGTCTCTGTGGAAGTAAATCGATACTCCCTTGGATTTTGTGTTGGCCATGGCATGAAATTCCTGGGTATAGTGTTTTATCTGGAATTTGGGTGGAGTGCGTTTGCGAAAGTGTGTCTCTTGTAAGCAGACTATTGCCGCTTGTGTCTTTAAGATTTCGCAAGCAGTCATCCTTCGTTTGTGGGGGCTGTTGAGGCCTTTTACATTCAGCGAGAGTAACTTGAGTGAGTCACCCATTGTCTGTTGTTGGGCGAACGCTAAATGAGTAGCTGCCCTGGTGTGGTTTGATAAAGTAAGTGGCATCACTAGTGAACCGATAGGTGGAGGGTTTTAGAGAAGGGTGTAAGGGGGAAAAGAAGTATTTACAGATTTTTAACGCCTCCCTAGGCGTTATCCTCGACTGAGGTGTGAGCAGGTTAGTTTTTCCCCTCATCACGTTCAGTCTTGGGGGGTTGTATGGTGAGGAGAGACGAGTAGACCCTCTACCTTCCCTGTTTGCCCGCCAGTGCAATCCCGCCTTGAGGAGCTATACTTTTGTGGTTACCTCCTGCGTGACCGCACCCTATTGTCCCGTTACCGGATAGGGGCTGCATATACCCGTGTCTCATTTCCGTCATGGGGTCAGCGTTTGTTACTCTGGTCGTGACGTGGTGCTCGGTGCCCCCCTACGTGCCCCCCCTGTGTAACAGTCCCTGCACATGCGTAATGCGGATGTGACCGCAGATGTTTTAACCTCATCATTTGTTGCATTGGTCGAGCTCCTTAGTGATGGGAGGCTGTCCACTGTAGCTCAGCTTTATCATTATGTGGCCCTCCATCCCCACGGCCTCCTCGCCCGTTGTACCTTCCTGTTTGCCCCTGTTTGCTATAGTGAGGTTCCCCATTTCCTGCCTGGTGGATCAGTTGCTTCGGTGCTGCTACCTTAGTAGTGCTCACTTAGCACCTAATTGTCAGGTTCCGGTGGGGACATTGCTAGGGGTACCTATTAAAACAGGGGGGGGGGGGGGCATCGTGCCGAAGTGGCCATGCATCCTATGAGCCCCAGTCTCAACCTATCCCTCAGTGGGATACGCGTTAGGTCGTGCGCTAATGAGGGCATTCTTACCCGGGGGCTGCCAGTTACCAGGGGTATTGTCCTATATTCGCGGGTGTAGTATACGGTCTGAGCTATACCCGGTCTCTCTAGCATTCTGCCCTCCTCATATACCATCAACATTTACAGGGTGTTGTGACCATAGTCTCTGGATCCATCCAGCCCGCCCTACCGGCCCTATGATACATTTAAACTGGGCCTTCACTCAAGCTCTATGACAACATTTGAACATGAACATATTAACCATATAAAGAAAAAGGATATTCCTGTTGCACGTAGTTCGTGGAACTTTTAGTCTTTTCAATTTGGCGACTAAACAGGCCTTCATCCTCAGATGTCACCAATATTTATACTGAGTTGTATCATAGTCTCTAGGGCTATCCAGCCCCTCTCTCTAGGCACATTGGTACTTTAACAGGGCCTGTGCGTAAAAGCTATACCACAATTATAACACGAGCTATATTAGTCATACAAGTAAAAGGATATTCCTGTGGCACCCAGCGCGTTGCTCTGGTCTTTGCCTTTGAGCGGCTAAACGGGCCGTCAGTTCTTTCGGGTTTTGCTAGGTGATTCCCACCATGTGCCAGTCCTCTTGCAGCCGTCGCTGCGGTGATCCTCTGCTTGCGTCAGGCTCCTTGTAGGGGAAGAGGCCCCATTCCGCCAGTAATCTCATGCCCACTTCGGGTTCTTCTGCTATGTGATTCTTCCCCCCTTTCCACACTATCACCTTCGTGGGGTATCCCCAACGGTAGGGTATATTGTTATTCCGCAACGTTTTTGTTACTGTGATGAAGTCCCGTCGGCGGGCCATGGTGAGTGCTGACAGGTCCGCGTACAGTTGAATTGTTTCGTAGGGGTCAGGTAATTTGGGAAGTTTCCGATCCGCGGCGAGCAGAGCCTCCTTTGTTCTATAATAATGAAAGCGCACCACCGTGTCTCTCGGCCTATCTTGAGCGAGTCTCGGTGGGCGCGGGAGACGGTGGGCCCTGTCCATGAGCCACTCTGATTCCACAACGTTTGGCGAGAGCGCTTTGCAGATTCCCAACAAGTAGGCCATAAGCGCGTCCCGCGAGACAGATTCTGGGATCCCCCTGAATCGGACGTTGTTCCTGCGGGATCTGTCCTCCATGTCAGCCAATTTCCTCTTAATTTGTTGGTGTTCCATTGTTAGGTGATGCACCGTCTCTGCTAAATCATTTCGTTCTTCGCTGAGTGCGTCGGAGCGGGCCTCAAGACGGTTGGTGCGCTCACCGATATCATTGATGTCTTTCCTCAGCTCGCTTGTGACTTTTTTGAAGTCATGCTGGAGCGATACTCTGAATTCTTGGAGCATGGTGTATAATCTCTTTTCGGTTACGGGCGCATCCGTGTAGTGGCCTGTATCGCCCTCCTGTTCTTCTTGTTGCTCAGCTCCTTGAGAGGCCTGCGGACCTTCCTCGCCGTCTTGCGTAGGCCGCATTTTATCTTTTTTAGCGCTGCGGACCGGGTCCGTGAGTTTCGTCTGCTTCGCCGGTGCCATCGTGTACAGTGAGGTAGTTAGTATGTCTGGGGGCACTTTAGCGGCGTTATGCTGCGATATGTCACGCTGTTAGGGTCTTTTTTCGTCGGAGCTCCTACTCCATGCGGCCATCCACCTCGGTAGTTGGCCACGCCCCCGGACCACAGGTTCTCAATGGGGTTCAGATCAGGTGAACAAGGAGGCCATGTCATTAGATTTTCTTCTTTTATACCCTTTCTTGCCAGCCACGCTGTGGAGTACTTGGACGCGTGTGATGGAGCATTGTCCTGGATGAAAATCATGTTTTTATTGAAGGATGCAGACTTCTTCCTGTACCAATGCTTGAAGAAGGTGTCTTCCAGGAACTGGCAGTAGGACTGGGAGTTGAGCTTGACTCCATCCTCAACCCGAAAAGGCCCCACAAGCTCATCTTTGATGATACCAGCCCAAACCAGTACTCCACCTCCACCTTGCTGGCGTCTGAGTCGGACTGGAGCTCTCTGCCCTTTACCAATCCAGCCACGGGCCCATCCATCTGGCCCATCAAGACTCACTCTCATTTCATCAGTCCATAAAACCTTAGAAAAATCAGTCTTGAGATATTTCTTGGCCCAGTCTTGACGTTTCAGCTTGTGTGTCTTGTTCAGTGGTGGTCGTCTTTCAGCCTTTCTTACCTTGGCCATGTCTCTGAGTATTGCACACCTTGTGCTTTTGGGCACTCCAGTGATGTTGCAGCTCTGAAATATGGGCAAACTGGTGGCAAGTGGCATCGTGGCAGCTGCACGCTTGACTTTTCTCAGTTCATGGGCAGTTATTTTGCGCCTTGGTTTTTCCACACGCTTCTTGCGACCCTGTTGACTATTTTGAATGAAACGCTTGATTGTTCGATGATCACGCTTCAGAAGCTTTGCAATTTTAAGAGTGCTGCATCCCTCTGCAAGATATCTCACTATTTTTGACTTTTCTGAGCCTGTCAAGTCCTTCTTTTGACCCATTTTGCCAAAGGAAAGGAAGTTGCCTAATAATTATGCACACCTGATATAGGGTGTTGATGTCATTAGACCACACCCCTTCTCATTACAGAGATGCACATCACCTAATATGCTTAATTGGTAGTAGGCTTTCAAGCCTATACAGCTTGGAGTAAGACAACATGCATAAAGAGGATGATGTGGTCAAAATACTCATTTGCCTAATAATTCTGCACTCCCTGTACATCCCTAAGGAAAACATACATGCAGTTAATCGTGTATTTTTGTTCTAAAAACGACATGCAAAAACTGCAGATCTCTTGTCTGCAGCCTTTGCTAAGCCTCTCCTTCTAACCCCGCCCAGACTTTCAGTGGCTGTCCAATGACAGACTTCCAATGCAGCTCAATGGGAATTCTTTGTGAGGCAGGCGCTCTGGACAATTGCTGCCTCTTGAGTTTAGCTCCACTGAGCTAACCAAACCTGGAAGTAACAGGACTGGTTGTATCAATAATATTTAAAAAAGAGCAGAAACAGAGGGGACCAGTGGTGCGATATTGTAGAAAAATAGACCCCTGGCCCCTCTTTCTCCTGAGATTAAAAGTGTCTTTACTTATCTTTTCTTCCTGCCACCGTGATGATCTCAGCCAATCCAGAGCTTTCCCATAGGAAAGCATTGGGAGGCTAGTACGCATGTGCAGCAAACGCCATTCTGTGTCAACCAGCATTTCTATGGGGAACGCCTATGGCAGTGTTTACAGTGCTAATGCCGCAGGAACGTGCTATAGACCAGAACCACTACATTAGACTTTAGTAGTTCTGGAGACTATAGTGTCCTTTTTTAGAAAAATATTGTTTCATTAAATTTAATAAACTTTTAAAAGTATACTTTTATAAGTAATAATTTGATGACAGTTGCCCTTTAATGATTGTCCAGTGGGGGCGAGGCCTGACCGCCAAACTGAACGGTTGCATATACCAACAGCTCCTGCTACCATCACACTTAAAGCCTTAAAAAAAAAACATCTTACACCCGATAAACGACCAGCAGCCGTGGTCTGATGCACAGGGGAGCACTGATTCAGAGGAGAGGCTTGCAATTTCTTGTTTTAGTCCCTTGAGATGATAGCAGTGGTCCATACAGGATGAAGCCAACTAAGGCGGTGAGTGGGGTGGAAGGCCGCTGCCCCGCTATCCTGCCCGACGCTATCGTGCTGGACTCCCATGGCCATGCAACCAGGGCCCCGTTCCCCCCCCCACCCGGGCCGGTGTGGGTGATTCCAGCCCACACCCTGCAGCCCTTACCTCACCAGAAGCCCCGCTACTCAAACCACGAGGCCCCACTAAAATGGCGGCAAACGTGAATCCTCCAGTTCGCAATGGGAACAACACCAGTTTTTCTCCCTCGATAGCTAAGGCCCTTACACATGCAAGGCGGATGCTACATACCTGCATGAGGCAGCCTGACGGGTGGGATCCCTACGACACACAACTACAATGCTTGCCAAATCAAAGAGGCTGCGATGCCCGAGCTCACATGAGGAGCCAGCCCACCCTGAACATCACCGAGCGACTCATACACAGGCTTACCCAAGCGCCTGCCCCACAGCACATGACATCGCTCCCTACCCTGGATCTAGATCGCAGCGCTACAGATCGTGCAGACAGCCACGCTCAGCTCCAGCATGGAACAACTCATGGACAGCCTCTATTCCTACCCAAGCCAGGGCATAGGCTGACGCTGGACTCTCTGACCATGCCACCCTTCCGACAACTTCATGCCTGATTACAGGGCTCAAAGTATTTTATGTTCCCTTCTTTGTGTTTCACTTCATTTAATTTTCAAGACTTCTCTCTTTGGTTTTCATGGGACAAGAAGTATTATGCAGATATGCACATGATACTACAGACCTTATTTAACCTGTTGGACTCCTGCTATAACTCTGCTCTCATGTACCTACGTTTATGAGTTTCTTTTCTTTTAATTTGCCTGATGCACGCCTCTACCTACGCTCAATACTAAAAAGCGGTCTGAGATAACCACCCGCCTCCCACCATAAGTTTAGCCTGGTAGGCTGGCTGGCACCAATCTCAATTAACCATTTTATAACTAATAGACCCACACCTCGCACATTGCGCAGCGTGCCATCCAGTATACTATACTGGCAAGCACCAGGGCGCATTTACCCGCTTCAGATACCCAGGCATGTAACTCTTTTTAACCCTACTGTCAGTTTCCATTAACAAACCGAGGTAGACTTTCACAGCGCACTAAGCCCCTCACAGTCATATCCTAGGTTAGAACAAGCAACGGGTTGCCTTATAATGGTTGCTCATCCACTCATGGTCTCATGTCGCTTTGCCTACACGAATTGCAGCACCACCTTACGCCATATTTTACCTTAACCTGAGTTAACCCACTGATGCACACTTCAGCCTATTGTTCTTACACGAAATCTGCAAATGCTCATACCAATATCTAGTCTGCACGTTATAGAACAGTCTGAGATCTTTTCTATCTCATGATAACATACCATAAAATTGTGCTATTCAATCGCATGCCTCTTTATGCAAAAGCTTACAGTGCCATGGATGGTAAAGTAATTTGCATGGTATGCCCTGGTTGTGCCAGGAACAAAAAGGGGAATAGGAAAAAAAAAAAAAAAAAAAAGGGAATGGATTTTTAAAATAAAAATGGCTAACCAGTATGTAACTTTTAGTTCGCTACCACGTTGTGCATAAATCTCAATCCTTTCAGATCCTCTTTAATTCCTACGTTGTATTTAGATGGTGATTGTAAAAATAAGTCTGTAGACACACTACATTCTATAAAGAAAATGATGTATTGTTTATTGGGAGCGGGGTTTATAAATTCCCTATAACACAATTCTTTGCGGATCACATAACCACTAGATGTGTTCCATATATATATATATTTAATTTTATTGCTTTGCATTTTAAATAAATATTTACTGTTGGAATTATCAGAAATAAAAATACAAAAATAAAAATGAAAAAAGTGGGAATAAAAGCAATAATTAATATAAAATAAAAATCTGTCTAATAAATTGTTAAGAGCAAGGTCAGGGATATTTAGACCTTGTAGGGGCACAGATAGGGTAACTATGTGAGCATTCAAATTGGTTTAATTCCTTGTGGAAACTAAATAAAGATCTCAAAGTGTTTGGTTCAATTGTATTCTTTCATGTCCTGATCTGTTCATTTAGGGTGATCATGTGTATTTTAAATGTGACAAACCCTATAGGAGGAAACCCTAAACTAGGGGGATAACCTGTGTGTGTGTAATGTGAGAGGGTGTTGTGAGAAGTTCTCGAGGTGTTATCCTTTTCTGTCTTGGTGACAGCTTGCAGCCGGCCCAGGGTCCTATGGGAGAGGATGGGAGACTCTGGCAGGGACTAGAGACCGCTTGCAAGCTGCTGAAAACCAAGGGGAGAGGGAGGAGGGAGGGTAGAAAATCAGAGACAATTGGTCTGATGGTTAATAAACTGTCATTATATAGAGGGTGCATCTTAAATGACCCTATCATAAAAAATATATATACTGAACACTATAAACTTAGTACATCTCCTTAATAATACATTAGATTGTTTTACAATAATGAAGCTTATTTATTTTTATTTTATTTTGTTTTGTTTTTTTAATAAAATGTGTTTTTAGTTACTAAAGTATGAATTGCAGAGAATTCAAAGGCAACTTCAAATGTTGCAGAATTGGAAAATTGGAAAAATCTACATTGAATTCTCAACACTTTACAAATTTAAAAGGTTAATGTCTCAAGTATAGAATGGTAACGAATTAATATCCAAATGACACATTTGAGTTTCAGATATGTGAGTTGGAAAATGTTTCAAATTAGCGATTCTGGCCCACAATATGCCATTCAGATTTACATTTGCTACAACTTGGAGTGAACAGAATAATTCTCTTTAATGGTGCTGAAATGAAAATGGAATTGCAAATTTAAGGATAAAATAGTCAAGCTGTGTCTGTGGAAGAACAAGGGATTTTCTAAATCTGCTGTTATGGCCTACATCTCACATTATCCTGTAAAGCCTTTGTGGAAGCTTGCATCAATTGTCACTAGACCCACATTTTCTGTGATTTTTGCCTTCCCCCCTTCTTTTACTGATAACTACCCAAATGTTTGTTTTGCTTGACCAACCCTCCCCTCAACTGTGCATAGATGTATCTCCCTATTCCATAGCTTTATTTTCCACCAATACCAATACTTCCCCCTACCCCGCTCCCTCCTCTGCTCTATGCTCACTCACACACGTTACACCAGAACAGGTTTCTACTCTTCTTTGGTCCTCAAGCCCCACAACTTGTCCCCTCAAACATATTCCCTTACATCTCACTTTGTCTCCTTCTCTTGCTCTGCCCCTAACTAGAATATTCAATCTCTCCCTCTTCTCTTGCATACCCTTTAAATACGCAGCCCCAATTCTAAAAAAGCCCAACCTTGACCCTAACTCCCCATTCAACTACTGCCCTGTCTCACAACTACCGTTTGCCTCCAAGATCCTTGAGATAGTTGTGTACGCGAGATTTATTTATTTATTTATAAAATATTTTACCAGGAAAGATACATTGAGATTTCTCTCGTTTTCAAGTATGTCCTGGGTCCACAACTTCTTTGAATCCAACTCTCTGCACGACCCACTTCAGTCTGGATTCCACACTCGTCACTGTCGAAAAGGCTATAACCAAAACATCCAGTGATCTAATTGCTGCTAAATCCAGTGGTCGCTACTCTCTCCTCATTCTCATTGACATTTCTGCTGCTTTCAACACTCTTGATCATCAACAACTTCTTCTCATCCTCCATAACTTTAATTTATGAGACTTTGCACTTTCCTGGTTCTCCTCCTACCTCTCTCCCCACTCTTACATTGTTTCATTTTCTGTCTCTTCTTCTTCTCTGCAACCCGTCTCTGTCAGTGTTCCCCAAGGTTCAGTCCTTGGTCCCCTACTGTTCTCGATCTACACTGACTCCCTTGGTAAACTCATCAGCTACTTTGGCTTCCAATATCAATTCAATGCAGATTACACAGCAAATGTATCTGTCCTCTCCTGAGCTCTCAGCATCCCTCTTGATTTGTGCCTTAGACTGACACTTTGCTATTTCTAACTGAATGGCTGCTCAATGGCTTACATGTAACCTGTCCAAAACAGAACTTCTCGTCTTTCCTCCCTCAAGTATTGCTACTCCCGTATCTGTCTCTAAGCTAGGACATACTTGAAAATTAGAGAAATCTCAATGTATCCTTCTTGGTAAAATATTTTATAAATAAATAAGTCATGGCACTATCTTTAACCTTGCAGGCTCGTTGCTTAAGTGTTCTCCTTGACTTCAACTTCTCCTTCACCTCTCATGTCCAGTAACTCGCCAAATCCTGCCACTTCCATTTTCAAAAATATAGCTTGCATCCTTTCCTATCAAACACCAGAGGCAGCTAAGGTGTTGGTCTATCTCCTCTCGCCTTGGCTACTGAAATCCTTTTCTGCCCACAGCTTGCCCCGTTATAGTCTATAATGAATGTGGCAGCAAGACTCATCCTACATATCCTCACTAATACACAAGTATGACCTCCCCAGTTCCCTAAGCTCTGCCGCAGATCTGCGTCTATCCTTTGTTCATACTTGGACCTCTGACACTTGCCTCCAAGACTTCTCTAGGACTGCGCCGTTCCAGTGGAACTCCCTTCCCTGCTCTATTAGACTATCACCCAGTCTCAGTTCCTTCAAAAGATAATTAAAAACTCACTTCTTTACGAAAGCGTTTTCAATTAAACTGTTAATAGCTTTCCCTCCCCGTACCTTGGTGATCCACCTTGCTTCCTCTCCTGCAACTGTTTCATCCAAAAAACTAAAGCTTCATTGTAAACTATTCTAGAAACCTACTTTTCCCCGTACATATAATACCTCTTGTGCCACTTTACCCCCTCCCTCTAGAATGTAAGCTTGTTTGAGCAGGGTGCTCCCTGTTCTTCCAACTTGTCTTGTTGCAAATACTTGGGTGTTAGTCCACCCATTGTACAGCGCTGCGGCATTTGTCGGCGCTTTATAAATAATAATAATAATAATAATTACTACTTCATGCATTTGGGCTGAACATAAAAAGTGCTGCCCTGTTGTATCAAAAATGTTTATACTGAGAGTGTGAATTTAATTAATTAATAAAGAGAGGATCTGAAGAGCCTGATTATTAAAGGAGTTTCTCTCCTGCAAACGCAAGGATTCTAATTCTACATACTACAGGACAGCACTTTTCATGTGCTACCCATCAGCATGAAGAGTTGCTACAATAAAAGTTGTCAGCCTTGATCACACCTGAAGATTTCTTATTAAATAGGCAGAGCACATGCTCCATACTAGCAAAATAAATAATTTGAGTTAATTAAATTATACATATTTAGGTCAGCACTGATCTGGCATATGTGAATTCTTTGTTTGACGAAACCTGTTCAGACAAGGGATGAAGACATACATTCTAAAATTTAACTGGCGTAGCCCCCCTTCCAATCAGTAAGGGCAGGTTTTAACCACATCGCAGCTTAATCCCAGGTGTATTGTTTGAAAAGAACTGAAATGATTCATTAGCCCACCTATAGTCCTCTGGGGAAAATCTTAAAAACCTGCACTGTTGGGTAACATGGATGTTGAACATATGTTCATAAAGGCAGGTTCTGTAGCCACAACACTATAGGTTTGTAGAATGGGCTCTGCCTTTTTTTTGGTGGGGGGGGCAAACGGGTTGGTTTTGAATGATGACAGTTTTCGAAAGCCCAGAGGAAAATTAAATATATATTTATATACCAGATCCCTCAAACCATCAAATGTACCTTTTAGCAAAAGAATGTGTGCAGGCGAAAAACACACACATCTTATGTCTGCATATTGCACCTGTGATAACTCAAGACAAGAATACATCTTTCTAACTTGCACAAATGACAGATAGAAAGGAGACAATTGGGCTTTATAAGAAAAATAAATCAAAGTGTTAACTTGACACAAACTTCACATGGGAAAGCAATAGACACATCATGACTTGTACTCATTAGCAAAAGGAATAGCAAAAAAAAAATTACTTTGTGAGCAGCTTTTACTGTTCCTCTGCACTGTTTAAATGATTAGACAGGTCTCCTGTTAGACAAACCTGGCTTTGCTCTTTGGTGATGCTTGTTGGGCCCTCAAGATCCCATTGACTGTGAAGCTGCAGATGAAACAGATAGGAAAGGAGATGCAGGGGGGAGCAGGTAATCTTTAACCCTGTGATTGGCAGAGGATGAGAAAATTTCTAGAATCAAAAATTTTATTGTGGTTGCTGCCCCTCTATGGCAGACCTGACTAAAAAGCCAGTTAGTATTTGCAAAGGACAAGCTCTGGTGCAAAGTATATAGCCCACTGTAGATTTTCATTTACCCCCCATAAATATACACTGGGTAACTCAAAATCATTCAACCTGGGTTTATCTGGTACCCTGCTATGACACAGGGGAGTTAGGTAGATTCTCTTGTGGTTATTCAAGACTTTCTCTAAAAAGTGTAAAATATAGGTGTATGGACCTCCATTTAAACATGTAACCTCATAAAACACTTCAATTAAAATTCAAATAATTATCTGTAAAACTGGTGTAAATTTAGTCAATATTTTCATTAACTATATTTATACACTATCTATCTATCTATCTATATGTCTCTGATCTCTCTAGCTATACTTTTTTATCCCTAACAGATCATTTGTGTTGCATTTATTACTAAACAGACACAAAACGTGTTAGTCTGATGAGATCATGTTGTTACAAAACGTGTCATAGCTAAAATGGTTATGTAACTATCTCACTGAAAATAATGCCTTTGGTAACGTAGGTAAAAGTCTTTTTTTATATTAATGACTAGTAAAACGAATTATTAATAACCATCACTGCATTTTACTCAGCAGTTTGACATTTCACGACCACAGATGCAATACAATAATTTAACAGAAGGAACATACACAAATATGATTAAACAATCTGCAAAGTAGATTTTCGTGGGGGGGGGGATTTTTTTTTTAATGCAATCTCTACAAAATAAAATTCGCGATTTTTTTTTTTTTTTAAATATGTGTAAATTAAACATTTGCTTTAATTTCGTTTCTTGCTCCTGGTACCAATAGAAAAGGAATCATAACTCATAAATGAGAATATATATTTAATTTATTTTAAAGAATATTTATTTAATTTAAACACTGCAACACTAATATATTGGAAAAAAAATAAGTAATTTTTCTACAACTTTCTATGGGTTAACCTTAAAATACAAACAGTCAGGAATCTACAAAACAAGCAAGGTGACTTTAAAAAAAAATTAAATCTCACTTGTCATAAAAATTCAGAATAAATGTTAAATATTTAATAATCTAACTCATGTGTCATACTAAGTATATATAATTATCCCATGTATCTATGCTATACTCTGCACATATATGACTATATCTTTAATTTATACTACTATAATTAATTTATTTATATCATTATTAATATATCTGCATATCCCAATTTATCAAATCAGTTTGTTTCTATTTATGTTCCCATATCCAAATGTATTTTTTTTTTTTTAAATACTGAAAAATTCTCTCTGTGTCCCTGTGTAGCAATAACATGCATTTTTTTGAAATTGGTTTTAATGTCACTTTGTAATCAACAACCCACTTCTCTTCCCTAGCCCTGTATATCTCTCCATATTACAAACCACCTCTATATTGCATTCTGAATGCACTCTCCTTTCAATGCAAGAAGAACAAGGCTGGAGGTAGTAAAGCAGTGAAGGGGTTAATTAGTGGGCCATATTCTGGTGGAGGTAGTGAAGCGGGGAAGGGGTTAATAAGTGGGACACAGTCCTGGCAGGGAGTTAGTTACACTGTGTCTCATTGTCAGGAGGGGGGGACAGACTTTCCATTTACAGGGCAGGAGTAGAGGAGAGGCAACAGGCCAGTATTATATGATTCTTCTTAGAATGGGATGGTTAACCCTTGCTATGCCGGATCAAAGTGATGGATCTCTTCAGTCTGAGACAGAAAGGAAAATAGTTAAGGAGGGGGTAAAGGGAGCTTGGGGATCTTTTCTCTTCCTCGTGTTCAATTTCAGAGTGTAATTACGAAAACAAACCAACTGAGTCAAGAATGAATGTGTCAGAATGAATTAATAAAATAAAGAAACAAAATTGTAGCAAAATGCCTTGCCAGTGGAGGTTATAAAATGTTGCCAATTAAAAGCTTGTGCAAAGCAGGCAGCTGGGATTTAACCTGTTAGTTGCCAGGATGAGTGGGTGGTTGCCAAGCAGGGGTGCTGGTTGGTTGGGTGTTTGTTGTTGGGTTTTTTTGTGTGTGTGCCCAGCAGGGCAGGAAAGAGTTAATAGCTTCATTAGAAGGTCCTGGTGACTGATGGGATGAGAGCAAACAAGGTGGAAATAGCCTGTAAACAGCGGCGCTGTGAGCTGCTGTAATTAATTCACTGTCTCTTTTAATCAAACTGAAAGGAGATCAGGTTCTTTTTCGTGACATGACATCAGCCAAAAAGCCCCAGCAGCCAATCAGAGAACAGGCTCCTCTGACATGTGGGCTGACACATTGCAAGCCATGGCAAAGTGACACAAGTTCTGAAGAGGAAAAAAGGGAGTAGTGACAGTGTGTAAGGAGATCTGAGGCTGGATACAAAACCCACCAACCCCCCCCTTAGAAGGGCAGGGGGAGACCAGGTCACTGCTATCTGAAGAACTGGAGATCTGAGACTTGGAGACCCCTCTGGGTGCTTCTCCAAAGCCCTACAGCTTGTCCTCTCAGACTGAAGACCCCAAGTGATGAGCAACAACAGAGTGTATTCTCCAAGGAAGGAGACCTGAAGCTGAGACCTCCCTTTTTTTGTCCCCCTGGGGCAGAAGGTTTGGTAGGAGTGACACACGGGACATTTTGGAAACAGACTAGATCAAGGGCAGTTGATGTGCACAGGTCCTCTCCGTGGTCCTGAAAGAAGCAAGCTGAACTAATCACCTGGCTGGCTCTCTCTGTTCCTGCTGATCCCAGCTTGGTCCCTTAGAGAGATCCCAGGCTGAGATGATGGGATGTGCCTTTGGATGACCCCCCTCCCAAGCTTTGGCAGTTCTGTTTGATGAAAGATCAGAGCCCTTTTCTGCTACTGACATCCAGCATCTCTTCCACAGCAGAAAACCTATGTGAGCTACACAGAACCACAGTCTTCTCCTCCTGATCGATTTTACCATCATTGGACTGGTTAAGTTATACAAACCCTCTATTGATTTTTTCTTCCAGGCAGTGTTTCTCTTGAGGGGTTCGGACCACCCAGGCAAAGAATCTTCAACCAGGATTTTATTTTCATTTTATATGTATATGAATTGATACCTTGAAAAAAAACCCACTTGACTGGCAAGTGGGATATCTCCTCTTATGGGGACCTAGGTGAAGTTACTGGATCCCAAGAACAATTGAGACATCCTGGGAGATTATTGAGCAGTAACATAGATTTAACCCACAAAGCTATCTTCTCTGGTTTTTTCTGGAGGACAAATGTCTTTCTGAAATCTTGGACATCATGGAAGGCTCACACGGATTTGGGATTGAGACCATCCTTTCCCATCGACCAGGAAGCCCCGAGCTTGCTCACGGGGACCCATTGATGGGGGACAGCAGGTCACCTCTGGAGCTCAGTCCCAGGTCTGAAGTTAGTAGTGGTTGTTCTTCACCACCTTCCCCAGCCAGGGAGTGTCTAGAAGCGGTCACCAGCAGGCAAGGAGTTTCCCTAGCCATGGAGTGCAACCTTCAGCCTGGGGTCCATCTCTCTGCCCCATCTCAGTCCAGAACTGTCACCTCTTCCTTCCTGATCAGGGACATTCTAGCGGACTGCAAACCTTTAGCAACCTGTGCACCCTACTCCAGCAATGGACAACCAGCACAGGACTTGGGACTCTGCTTGTCCACTAAAAGTGGGGATGACTTTAGGGACAAAATGGACAAGAGCAACAGTTCCACATCTTCAGACTCTGAATACAAAGGCAGAGGTAAGTCACCGTCACCCCTTCAGATTAAACAAGAACCCTGAATGTCAATTTTCACTTGTTGGAAGTTGTTCCACTAAAAGGAACCACTACTTGCAGACATCAAATAATGTCTGAACAGTTTCCAAAGTATCAGTTCCTGGTGTGTCGATTTATTGAGAAATAAGGAGTTGAAACAACACATTTCGAGTGTAAATAATTATGTAATGTTATTGAAAACATTCTTAAAAGGTAACATTTTTTATAATCTAGAAAAATTCGAGTCTAGCTATTTTGTTGCTTGAAAAGACAAGGAAATACCTATTCTCAGAACTAGATAAATATTCGATGGGCTTGAATTTCTAGAAAGAACTGATGCCATAATTGTTTATATATTATTGGTCCATTAATTAAATATTTGAACATAACTATGGGTGGTGCACATACTCTAATCTCGGTTATAAAATTAAAGTCTAGAAGTGGAATAATCAGTGAATCCCAGGGCATCAGAGACCCCTTAGAGGCTTCATTATCAGCCAGAAATATTAGGAATAAATATGTAAGGAATTAACATAAAAGCAAAGACCCAAATTAGTCATAGAGACAGGATCCATCTATTACCATGCAATTAGGAGACAACTGGCATTAAACATTAAACTGACAACCAACATTAGCTGTTATAATCCACACACTGTGCATTGCATTGCTACTACATAATACTGCAAAGGATAGATAGATAGATAGATAGAGAGAGAGAGAGAGAGAGAGAGAGAGAGAGAGAGAGAGAGAGAGAGAGAGAGAGAGAGAGAGAGAGAGAGAGAGAGACAGATAGATAGATAGAGAGAGAGAGAGATAGAGAGATAGATAGATAGATAGATAGATAATTTGTATTTTCTGGGAATACTCAGAATAATCTCCAATATTTGATAGATTTTGGAAAACAGTTGTCTTTACTCTTTTTTTTTCTTAATATACTCGGTTTATACTTAATTGGTCGGATTGCAGTAAACCTTCCATGTATCCAAAATGATACTTTGCATGCATTCTATCAAACAAAAGCTCTAAACTATATTTATTAACCCTTTGCACACAGATCCCAGGGTTTCACTGCAACTTTTTGTAACCTGTGTAATATTTATTCAAAGAAGTGAATGTTAGTTGAAAATAAATGAAGTCTGCGCTGATACACAATAGTTAAATTGGCTAAATTGTGTAGATAGGTAGATTATGATAGGTAGATATATAGATAGATATATATATAGAGAGAGATAGACAGACTGACAGACAGACAGATAGATAGAGACAGACAGATAGATAGAGACAGATAGACAGACAGACAGACAGACAGACAGACAGACAGACAGACAGATAGATAGATAGATAGATAGATAGATAGATAGATAGATAGATAGATAGATACTATGATTTCTAAAATACATTTCTGCTGAGAAGTGATTTTTACAGAGTATTTCTTGAAGGGAAAAAAATATATTAAAAAAATCTCAATACATAACTAGGTAAATTACAAAAACTATTTTAGAAATGTTATGGTATTGACAAAATCCGTTAAGGTTATATGACAACACATAATATATATATTAAATAAGGACTTCATTATTTTACAACTAAATCCTTCAAAACAACATCTCAACAGGCGAGCAGAAACACATAATACACACATACACACACACACACATACACACTATTATTATTATTATTATTATTATTATTATTATTTTGCAACTCATTTCATATGTGTATATATATATATATAAAATAAATGTGCAATATATTTAGTACACTTAGGTGTATACTATGTTACATCTACAAACATTCTTATATACATTGTAAATAGATGATAATGTATTTCGAGATTGAATCAATAAGAAACTTATCCACACTGATTTAATAAATAGATAATAAATAGATAAACATTTTGCAAGTGCTAGCCCGGAAGGGCCAATGTATTCGTGTCTGTAAGGCTGGTGCATCTATTGCAGCTAACAGGTTAATAAATCCGCATTACTGCTTTAACTCTCATGTACAAGACTTTGACAAATACATCTGGTCCTTGTCCTTGTGTAATGTATTTATCACAAAGACCAATGCTGGACACATTCACAATCAAAGCATTTCGTGTAACACAACTTACATGACATCTTCAGCCCAATCAATTAGTTTAATCATTATGGTTCTTAAAATCAGGAGTGTTTTACTTTTTCTACCTTTTGGCATTTGCAGAACCTCTGACTGCCTTTAATTGTACATTGAACGAAATAGGATGAAACCTTGAGATTTTGGTTCATTTCTAAAGAGATATAATTCTATTATTTGATTCCTACTTGGTTGGTTGAATGCAGAATTTCTGGTTAAAGGCTTTAAGCTCCCTAGTGGCTCAATTAAAAGGATTATTGTTTTCCTACAGAGAGAAATCAACTTTAGCCCTGTCACTTATAAAGACTACTACAGTGACTTGAATACAGACCGCTAGAAAATTCTAATACAGTCACTTTAACGCCCAATGCACGCTATTTACTAAATAATCTCCTTAAACTGGACTTCATCCTTACATATCACCACTTAGCTCTTCTTTACAGATCGTGTATATATATATTTGTGTGTGTGTGTGTGTGAATATATATATATATGTGTGTGTGTGTGTGTATTTATATATGTGTGTGTGTGTGTATTAATATATGTGTGTGTGTGTGTGTGTGTGTGTATGAATATATGTGTGTGTTTGTGTGTGTGTTTGTGTGTGTGTATGAATATATATGTGTGTGAGTGTATTTATATATATGTGTGTGTATTAATATATGTGTGTGTTTGTGTGTGTGTATGAATATATATGTGTGTGTGAGTGTATTTATATATATGTGTGTGTGTATTAATATATGTGTGTGTGTGTGTGTATTTATATATGTGTGTGTTTGTGTGTGTGTGTGAATATATATGTGTGTGTGTATTTATATATGTGTGTGTGTATTAATATATGTGTGTGTTTGTGTGTGTGTGTGTGTGTGTGTTTGTGCATCTATAGAGATTGTATATTATTATATTATAATAGTATAGTATATTTCTTAGTAAAATACTGCTTTATTCGTACCATATAATTAAACATCATTAAAAATGTTCTGAATATTTTTGGAGTTGCAAAGTGTGGTGGGAAGCAACAATGTATATTTGTAAAAAAAAAAAAAAAAATTAAAAAAAAGATTTTTTTTTTTAAATTGAAAAAAATCCATACATGTATAAAGATATAAATATATTATTGCTATAATTTATATATATTTATGTTTGATGTAATATGTCAATATTAGTAATTGAATGCGTTTGTTCTCTTAACCGTATACACTGCAGTATAACTGTTCGAAAGTTGTTAAATTTCGCCTAAATATTCGCAGTCAAAACAAATAACAATCCGGTCAAAATAGTGTAATGTCTGTTAGCATTCGTGACCCGAATTTACTCCATATTTTAAATACATGTTTATAGTTGTGATCGTACTTATATTTTTAAATATCTATTTATATACATCAAACGTCTATATAAATAAATACATTTATGTATTATACACACGGATCCATTTGATGTAGTTTAAGCATATTATAATGCTATAGGTTTATGTAATTATTGTATAAAGACTATAATACAAAACTATATATTTTGTATATTTTTTAATTGTTTATTCTCTGGAGATATTTCTTCTCAATATTATCATTTTTATAATTCTAGTAAAATCTGTCCCTGAAATTGAAATAAGCATTTTGATGATATATTAATTGAACAATTTGTTTTATCTAATTGCCATTACTATAAAAGGACTATGTTTTTATTGAAATGGCTATGTTTATATGTAAAGGGCTATGATTAGATTTAAACAGCAGTCACTAGTCTACAACAATAACACTATATTATTTTAATAATAACACTATATTTTTTTTAATATTGCTATAGTATATAAATATCAATTCCATATAGCAATATCAATTGGTAATATTAATATTTCAGACTACGTTTCCGCTCCAAAGAGTGTCTTCCTCAGACAGGGCATGGGGCTGGTAATTCCCACGTGCTGAATTCACTATCCCAGATAAGATATGATATTTCTGTCTGTTTCTTTGCAGTGAAGGAAGAGGGGGACCGAGAAATCTCAAGCTCCAGAGATAGCCCGCCAGTGAGGCTGAAGAAGCCAAGAAAAGCCCGCACCGCATTCACTGACCACCAACTGGCACAGCTGGAGAGGAGCTTTGAGAGGCAGAAATATCTCAGTGTACAGGACAGGATGGAGCTAGCTGCCTCTCTTAATCTCACTGACACCCAGGTGAAAACCTGGTACCAAAACAGGAGGTAAACAATCTATCAATAATCAATAGCAAAACCACACATTGTCAAAAAGTCAAACATTGTCAAAAATAAAAACACAAAATGTTTTTTTTAAAAAACACTTAAAATAAAGCAAATATGGGCAAAGTGTAGCAGCTACTGTCAAACTAATAATCCCTTAGTGTTGCTCAACAATGTTGCTTGTATAAAGGCAGATACAATGTTCCAATTCTGGTTTATAGGAAATGAAGAGTGTTTAAATTATATTGTTTGTCATTTTGTATTATATTTTTATTTATAACATACACTGTAACATATAACATTATACTATAGAGTAAAATAATCTACTCATTTTTATAAATAAATAAATCATTTGGCTGGTAGATCTAATTTAGCACTTCATGGATTTAGACAATATCTATATTCTAAAATTGGACTGTTTATTTTTGTAATTTTTTTTAAATTAAGGATAGAAAGGACGTAGAGGATAGATCCAGCGGTGGGTTTTTTTTGTGTGTGTTTTTAAAAAAAAATATTTTTAAATTTTGTAGGCTTCTGGTTTACATTTCACAGGGGTATATTAACTGAACTGCGACTTGCGGGTTATTGTGAGCTAAAAAAAACGATTTGCCGACTTTAGACTAAATGAACTTGATTCGAAAAAACGCCATCGCAGTTAAATTGTAGATTTATTTATTTTGCTCAAATTCAGCTATTATTAAAAAAATTAAATAAAAAATTAAAAAGTCTGCATTATAAATCGCTGTTTAGTAAATAGACCCCCGGTAATAATTATATACATATATATCAGGTCAATATATAGGTACAATGCAACATTTTTAAGAATTCTATCAAAAACAGAAACAAAAAACGTTACAATAAAAAGTTCAGAATCTGATTAAAGAACAAATATAAAACAAAATGAATGTGATATTTTAGTGGAGACAAAAAAAATAGTCGTCATGTATGTAACATAATAGAATTCGATATTTCATTAGACAGAGATCAGTATTTTCTTTAGATCGCCTCAATCTCCAGGTGTAAACAATCTATTTATTGTTTTAATTATTTAAAATACGGTCAGATGAAATGCATTGTTTGGATTTAATGTGAAACGTTTAAGTTAATTAAATACCATATAATCAAATCCAATATAAAGTGCTTCTAATTCTATTTTATTTTAACAATCTCTCCTTTCATTTATCTTAAAATCTAATCAACAGTATTACCCAGTTAATTTGAGGTTTAATCACTAATCAATTAATTTTGATGATTGGAATTTTGATAAAATGCAGGCCAGAATAGCTACAAAAATTTGGATAAAATCTTTACTAAATCTGAGTTTGATAATATATATATATATGTTTCTATTCTGTTATAATTTTTGCAACTTAAACAGAACAACTAATACCTGTAAATAACCTGTGTAGATAATTACTCCTTATATTCAGAATTAAATTCAGGCCATAATATTTTTATTATAATAATTATATACCTATTTCTAAAACTCAACTAATAATACAAGTATTTTAGATTGAAATGAACTCAAATTGGAATTACAAAATTCAGGCTGATATAATATTTTCAAAAACTGATCTTTTTGCCTGCATTTTGCAATTTCTATTTTTCATTTTTATATTTCAGTTTTGTTTATTGGAACACAAACAAACAAACAAACAAACAAACAAAACCAAACATTAAAACCCCATACATTTAGATTTTAAAAACTATGCACCCATTGCTCAATCCACATACTAAACAACAGTATAAAATGTGTAGTATTGTATAGGCATAAGGCTATCCTAACTATAAGATAAGGCCAGGGACTAATGAAAGTATTTATAAAATTGGGCAGACTAGATGGGCCGAATGGTTCTCATCCGCTGTCACATTCTATGTTTCTATGTGTGTGTGTGTTACTATATATGGTATGTGTGTGTGTATAAATATATATTTAGTTTATGAAGATTGTAAGATCAGTTAGATAGAGATCTCATCTCAAATACTTGAGTCAATTATCTAACCTCATAGAATATACTAGAATACTATTTAATGTACCTCTAATTATTGAACATGTTTCAGTTATCTTTCTCAGAAAAAAAATAAACAATTAGTTTTTATCTAATTCTATGTATCTATCATTATTACCCACATAATGTGAATAAATTAATAATTGAATAATTTAAAAGTTGTGACATATATATATAAACATATGACCAGATCAGAAATGGCCAGTTATACACAGAAATCTAAATATTTTAAATGTTATAAATTGCTATATCAGCATTTTATATATATATATATATATATATATATATATATATATATATATATATATATATATATAAAGTCTTCTAACTGTCCCCAGTAAAATAGTAAAGAAAGTTGCACTTTAAATAAACACTTCAGAATAACACGTTGATACATTAATAATAAATACCAATTACTGCTTTGGGCATCAATAATTAAATGCCTGTTCCAGTAATTACACAATTATTATAATTATGAATTATGAATAATTTAGTGCTGAAAATAGGACTATTTCTTTTGGAAATAGAGAGGGAGAGGCTGGGAATATCAATTCTGACTGTGTAGCATATTAAATTGATTTATTACACACAATGTACAATAGGTTTTGACATTCTCTGCAAGGTGTCCTAAGGGGGTACACACTAACCTACAATGAAGAATTTACACATGTATTCCTTGGCCTTTTTTCATATACATTTTAGTATTTTTTGGGGTATCTATCCTTTTCTCTTACTTGTATGGGTTTTTTTTGTCTGTTGTTTTATATGTACTATATATATATTTAGATTTTTTTTCTGCAATTTATTTTTTATTTTAATATATTCAAATATATATCATATATAATAGAATAAGAATATATAAAAAAAATAATGAATTGCAGAAAAAAAAAAATATATATATATATTGGATAAAGTACAAATGTTGCCCCGAATATATGAAATTATTGCATGATTGTAAAATAAAATACCATGAGTAGACTGTTAGATTAAAACTATACATAGTTATGTGTGTACATATGTATGTGTGTGTATATATATATATATATATATATATGTATTTTATTTGGGCGTGTGGATAGATCAGGTCCCTTTAACAAATAAAGAAGTGGCAAAATCTACCGGCATTGGTTGTATATATCTACACTAAAGCTTTTGTCACATTCAGAAATACAGCCGCTGTGATATATCTAGAATCTTTTTGTATTATTTATTATTTTTTTCAATATATTTATATATGTGATTTAAGTAATCTAAAATGAAATAATGTCCATTTCTTGTAGACTGGTATTTACATTTACAAACCAATAATTTATTATTTAAAATGTAAATCTCAATGGTCCTGCTGAATTGTAGTAAAAACTGTTTGTATTGTACATAATCTAGACAAATGTGTATTTGTGTTTAGGCAGACTGATGTACTGGGAGACACTGTCACTAATGTGTTAATTTTCTGGAATTGAAAGTATAAAATATAGCACAGTTTAAAAAAAACAACAACAAAAAAACATAACGGGCTTGGAAAATGTTTGCAGTTCCCTTATTGTGACCTAAAACTTTAAGTTTATTTAATATTCCTGAAAATTGTAATTTTAGGGATTAACACAGATTTTTTACTTTTTTACATATATGGATATATATGCCTCTTTCTGTACAAAATGCCAGCCCATGGCTCTATTTTTTTAACAGTGGAAGAAATTTTGTATAAATATCTCTATTATTATTTTCTTACCATAAAAGCGCAGACATATTCTGCAGCGTTGTACAATTTAGGAGCTAAAGACACAACAAAATGCAGATATATCAATACAACAGCAATGGATCTAAAATTTATCAATTATAGCACTAAGTTGTAGCAAGATAGTTTGTGAGCTTACAATCTGGAGCATGCTTCCCCAAACTCCGGTCTTTCAGATGTTGCTGAACTAAAATTCTCAGGCTTCTCTGCCTATCTTTTTTATTCATAGAATCATGGGAGTTGTAGTTCAGCAACATCTGGAGGGCCTGAGTTTGGGGAAGCCTAATCTAGAGGAAATGGCCGATGAGACAAAAGATTTTATGGAAAAACAGACTGTGATGGGCAGAGAGAAAGGGACATTGAACGCATGAAGGTTGAGAGTGGATTAGAGAGTTTGTTAGTGAGGATTCCAGGCCCCTCAGAGATCATGTTAGAATTACAATGACTTATATAACGCCAACATATACTGCAGCGAAGTACAATAGATAAACCAAGACAAACAATTCTAACAAAACACGTTTGACATATGAGAACGGTATGTGAAAAGGGCCTTGCTCCAATCAGCTTAGAAGGTGAGATTTGGAGGAGAACATTGCAGTATTTAGAGTTTGGCATTTATTAAATAGTATTATAAAATCAGGGCAAAATAACTGTGCAGGAAAAATATTTTCAATAATTGTAATTTTTTTAAACTTTTTTTTTTCTACATTTAAGGAAATTTCTGCTTAAATCTTGAAACTTCACTGTCTTTTAACAACCATTCACTAGTTTAATGTATAATCAATAACTCCTATGTCCCTTCAGCTTTTACAATTATTTTTTTTAAAAAAAATCTACTACTTCAATACAATACCATAAGTGAGTCTTTTTATTTAACACGTTAACAGAGTTGTGGTGGCCTAGGGATGGACTCACCAAGTATGTGGCTAAAATAATAAAAATGGAAAAATGTTTCAAGTTTGTTAGAATTCGAAATTTTACCAAACTCTGCAATTGGGGCCTAAAACTTAGTTCAAAGTTTGTTCTCAAGTCACGTTAGTTTTCCATTTAGCAGAGAGACACAAAATGACTCAGATTTTGTATAGGGGCAGCTAGTAGTTATTACTGAGCGACATCAGGTATTAGTGGCCGATTTTTTGCCCTTGTTACACTACTGCCCCTTGTATCATCATGGATGGAACACTTGTTTGGGTATATATTTTTTTTAAAGAATAAACTATAATTTAAGCTATGAAATACAATCTCTGCACATTTTCAGTACAGAGTAGTGAAACGAGTAGGGTAACGCAAAGATATGTTCATGTTGTCCCTCTCACTTCAATGACCAGGAAGCTCACGCTATTTTATTTTTCCTACTCAGATTGTGGTCTACAATGTATAGTATAATTCACTTAGATACATAATTTCTTGTTTTGATCCACTATTGTGGTACTATGACATAGTGGTGGGATTAACACGATATGGCCATATAATGTAACTGTATTTGTTTGCTAAAATAGATGATTTTTTTGAAGGCTTGATTTAAACCTTGTTTTTGTGTGTGTGTACCTTAATCTGTATTTTGTATATATTTTGGTCTTTACGGCAGCCCCCAAATCCCATATTTTTCTGCGTTGATTCATTATTGCAACTTTGCAACCTTTTCTTATAGACCTTATTAATCTTTAGCTGATTTGTCATTATTAATGGCTCAATAGGTGTCCACCTGAACTTACACTTGCTGACCTTTCTTTCCCCTTAAAGCTGCATCATGATCTCTCGACTAATCCCAATTATCAGAAAGATTATATTTAATTTTCTAAAAATCACTGTCTCTTACTGGCCTAACAGAGTGATAGTTTCTTAGAAAGAAGACCACAGGTTGCAACAAATAAAACCACATTCGGAAATGGATATATTATGAGGTATATTTATCAAACTGCAGCCATCTTGCAAGCGCAAAGCGCAAGCGCAAAGGAACACTATAGTGTCAGAAATACAAACATGTGTTATTTTCAGTGTTCTAGTACCTATTTAGATATCTGGGCCCCCCTAAATGAAATAAAAGAAAGCATTTTACTTACCGTATTTCCTCCCGAGTGACAAACACTAGAGATGGCCTTAGGAAGAGTTGTTTTTTTCTCAAAAAAGGCAGTGTTTACACTCCTGAGGCAGCAGGGACAGTTTCTCTGTGTGGCCTAGAACCACAACATTAAGCTGTAATGGTTCTGGTGCATATAACGTCCCTCTAAGTCATGCGTTAAGGCTGGCTCATCAGGGGTGCTCCATATGCTCGGAATTTACAGAATTATTTATTAAACTCAGAATTTTAGCAGATGTAATCAACATTTCCAAATTTAGGCAAAAATAGACAATGCAGCTATAGGGCAGTTGAAGAATTGTGAAGGGCAGCTATCTTTGTCTAAAGTTTGCAATTGGGAAGAACCTTATTCGTGAGCACCTCTTATCCACATTTATCTGTACTCCAAAAGCCCTCAAGGTGAACAGGGTTTTATCCTCTGAATGAAGTACCTAATACCCACACAGTTAACCAATTAGGACCCCTAGTATTTCTGTGTCTTAAATTTAATATAACTATAACGTGATATTTTTTATATATTTAAAAAATAAAATAAAACTCTTACATGTGCACGATTGTTTTTTGGGACCAGATGGGCAACAAGCCAGTATTGAGCTTTGCACATCTTTTGAAATCAGAAAATAGGCTGTCAGGGTTAGGCTAATTCAAGTGAATTTAAAATTTTAGGAACAAATTGTCAATTTTGAAAAAAGTTGGCTACTCTTTTAGTTATGCTACTCTGGACTTAAATGTGAAATTCACTTTGAGTTCTCACTTTTGTGAATAACCCTGATTGTGTGTAATTTCCAATCATGATCCCTTTATAATGGGTCCACCATGGTCCAAAGCATTGTGCACCTAATTGTTTAAAATATGAGACATTTATTGCAAATATCATCTACAGCTTCTCCACAACACTTACCATCATTTGGTGATGGGGCGAGTGACTTTCTCATTGTTCACAGTTATTGTATTGGTAAAATGATAAGTCTGCGACTATAAGGCACTGAGGACATCCAGTACCTAAAGAAACAGTCACCCATTACAGTACAGTAGGAAGTGTCCCAAAGGAAATTTTCCAGTTCCCAATTATAATAATCCCTATATTGTATTTTTCTATAAGGAATTTTATTTATTGGTTGCACTGGGAAAGCAATAAATGTCTGTGTCTGATTGTCTGTCTTAATCCTTTCTCTGTATAGGACAAAGTGGAAAAGACAGACTGCGGTTGGACTTGAACTTCTTGCAGAAGCTGGTAACTATTCTGCCCTCCAGCGAATGTTCCCCTCTCCATACTTCTATCCTCAAAGCCTTGTATCCAACTTGGATCCAGGAGCTGCACTATACTTATATAGGGGGCCCACAGCTCCACCACCCACTTTGCAAAGACCTCTGGTGCCTAGGATCCTCATTCATGGACTTCAGGGGGGCTCTGAACCACCCCCAGCTCTTCCTACCCTTACAGGAGTCCTACCCCGGGCTGCACAGCCACGGTAGGCACTAAAGTTGTTAACCTACATTTTCCCAGTTTCCCAGGTGCCAACACAAGAGGCTTACGAACAGCATTGGAAAAGAGGTGAAATATTGAGCACGATGAACTGTATATATGAATCTTTTATGAGCCTCTAATCGCCCCAACTGAGTCTTTCATACAAAGTGACCTTCTGTCCATAAATGAAGACTATTTGGCAGAACTCTCAGGAGCACACAGAAGATACTAAATATAACGCAATCGAACGTAACTCTCTTCTCAGAAATTTGAAACAATCTGAATGCAGAAATGGAATCTCACGGAAATGGCAAATAATATTTATAAAAGGCAAGCTTAAAGACGTCAAACAAAATTATTCTTATACTTGTTACACAAATAATTTCTGTTCCACTGGAGACGTATGGGGTTTGGCATGAGATAACTTATGAGCTACTGAAATCTTGACAGTAAGCACTAGATTAGGGGTAACCAACTTTTAGCTAGTGTTATCATATCAGAAGTTGGTATAGTGATTCCTATGAACGTATATACTCCAGGGCTGTGTTAAACCATTGGAGCCCTCGATGCTGTATTTTTCATTGGAGTCCCTAAATAAAATCATGATTTGGCAATCTTACCTGAAGCTCCCTTTAAAATAAAACTTCCGCAACTTCAATAAATCAATGGCTTGCTAGAACTTACCGGGGTAGGCAACCTTCGGCCATCCAGATGTTGTAGACTACATTTCCCATAAGGCTCTTACAGCTATAATACTGGTAACGCATCAGGAGAGATGTCCACAACATCTGGAGTGCATGGTAAAAAGGAAGCACTTTTGGTACAAATGCCCAGTTGGTAGCAGGGAAAATTGGTGATCTCCCCGCTGGTTACCTCTGCGCTTAATCATATACAGTAGGTTCTATGTCAGTGAACCTGGGATAGTGTGGACCTTATAGTGAGAGGGGCAGCGCTGGCTTATAGGGGTTATTCCCAAAAGTGTGAATTGTAAGGAATTCAGACTAAATTCAAAGATAATTCTGAATTCTAGGCTATAATAGTCAAATTGGCTAGAAGTATTTTTCCAATTTGGTCTAAAATTTGAAATGCAGGTTGAGTTTATTTTGAATTGTCAGCATTTGATGCTTTATTGAATAGCCCATAGAGGTATATTTATCTAAAAGCCAAATGATTATTGTTTCAGTAGTGATCCCGTCTATTTCTATGGTCAAAAGTTAACAACATTTTTAAAAATTCAATCTATACGTGTTTCTTGTAAATACGAACAGATATGTAGACACACATATCGTGTATGTTTACACCAAGATACTTTACAAACTATGCAGAAAAGTTAAAAGTAAGAGAAAAAAATATTCTTCATGCCAGGAACGTATGATAAATATTTTGAGCCACAATACGGACATATCAAATATATATGACACTGTTCTAGCATCCATTCTGATTTGACAGTTGAATGTAATTATCATAATTGGTAGAATGTATATTGTTTTTTTGGAGGAAGATAGGAAAAAAAACCTGAATGTATAACCTTTCCATTAAGAATAATGATGATGAATTACTAGAACAATACAAATCAAAAAATATCAGTTAACATATTTGAAGTAATACACTACGTAATATATATATATAAAAAAAAAAATCTAGCACACCACGAGTGATATTTTTTAATTCACTTAAAATGAGATTCCCGAGAAAAAAAAACAACTTTGTTCCCTAAAAAGTGAGCTGTTGTTCAAAGATAACGGACTTGGAAAAAAATTAGGTAAAAATTAGATACGTTTGGACAAAAAAATCCCAGCTGAATGCAAGTTTTTTCCCCCCGCAAGTCATCCAGTTTGGTCGTAATTAATCAAGCCAGTGATTAAGTGATCTCAGCTCGACATTTATTTACTAAACCTTAAATTTAAATACTGTACATATCCCTTTGTATGATATAAATATCCCTGTCTCTACCTATTTATTAAATATGTCACAGCTAAAGCTCCATTCATTCCATGTTGTATCTAACAGGCACATTGAAATAAAGTTGCATATTCTCCAGGACCTATACATTTTCATTGCCAGAGACTGTAGCATTTGGAGGATTAAAGGGATCCTATAGTGCCAGGAAAACAAACACGTTTTCCTGACACTAAAGGCTCCTGGAGTTCCCTCCTCCCTCTGGGTCCCCTTCAGCCACTTCCTGAATGGTAGACTGGTAGACAGCCACAGAGAGCAGACGTAGAACTGCAATGTAAAAATTGCAGTTCTCTGGAACAGCAATGTTTAACATTGCAGCACTAAGTGCAAAAGGGTCACAGCACCCAGACTACTTCAGTTAGCTCTAGGTGTCTACAGTGTCCCTTTAAAGACAATGCTCCAATATCTTATTTTTTTATATGTATCACATATTAACCAGGTAAATGAGTAATCACTTCTAAATCCTCTGGCACAGCAATGGTTAACCCCCTTCTGTGATTTCTACAGTGGTAAAAGAAAGTCTGGGAACCCTAAAATAATTATCTACATTTCCCCAATAAACTAAACTAAAATGTGATCTGATCTTTCTCCAAGTCCTAAAAATAAACTCAAATAATCAGATTAAACTGATATGGTACGTATCAAACTGTTAAATGTCTATTGCAATCATTGTCTTTGCAATCACTGTCTTTGCTGGGAAAAAAATGTGAACCTCAATATTATATTCTGCTCTGTTGAAGTCAGATATTCCAAATGATGAGATAATGATCAGATGAGTTTGACGAAGCTTTTTTAGGCAAACACAAACTTAGGTTGGAGTCTACTTTTCATAACACAGGTCAGTGAAGTGAGTCATTTCCAGATCTGTGAGATTTGGTGAGATAGGCAATGAAGCAAGTCATGTCCAGATCTGTGAGATTTGGTGAGATAGGCAATGAATCAAGTCACGTCCAGATCTGTGAGATTTGGTGAGATAGGCAATGAAGCAAGTCATGTCCAGATCTGTGAGATTTGGTGAGATAGGCAATGAAGCAAGTCATGTCCAGATCTGTGAGATTTGGTGAGATAGGCAATGAAGCAAGTCATGTCCAGATCTGTGAGATTTGGTGAGATAGGCAATGAAGCAAGTCATGTCCAGTCACAGTCCAGATCTCTGAGATTGTGTGAGATAGGCAATGAAGCAAGTCATGTCCAGATCTGTGAGATAAACAAAAAGTTGTCAAAGTTCATAATGCTGGAGAGAATTATAAAACCATTTCCACAGACATTAGGTTCCACCAATACTATATAAACTTTAAGAATGTAGTTGTTCAACTAACATCACTCTAAGAGAAAGTTAGCTCGATATTTCAGAAGGTAACTAAGAACCCCAGTACAACAGATTAAGACCATCTCTTGCATTGACAAATTTTGGTGATCCTGTGGCAACCAACAGGAAAATGCTAAATCAGAGCAGCCAGCATGAGATGGTACCAATGCCCAAACCTTATTATCATGAAAATGGCATCACCACCAATCTTTTTTTTTTTTTTTACATTCTTTATTGGTGTTTGAGTGGTAGACAGTGACATATACAGTGGTATGCAACAAACAGAAGCAGTAGTTTGACCATAGTAGAATCAGCATTGGCAACATTGGTGAGACATAGGTGATTCATAAGGGAGGAAGTATTTGAATAAAGTGTCGCGGTGGGTGCGTGCCTGTTTGGGGCCAAGTGCATGGAGATTGCTAGCCAACGAACGAGGTTGAGGAGTCCCATCCTCGTCTGTGGATCACCATCAATCTTAAGCCAAAACTCAACTGGATAATCCAGATGGCTTTCATAAGAGTGTGCCATGGACACCTGTAATGAAAGTGGCATAAATTAAAGATTTTACCTTTGGCAATACCTAAAATCTAAATTGCATCAAAAGAACCTCATTCCAACTATAAAGCATGATTGTGAGAATATCATTGTTTGTGGATTGTTTATTAGTATCTTGAAGAGAGTACTTCATCCAAGTTGACCCCCAAAAAAATCAACCTATGTCGATAGAAGTGGTTCATCACACACAAACAGCAAACCAGTTATTAAATTGAAACATTCTCGTTTATTTTCACCAAAGATAGTTGTTGAGTTTCATGACATTGTAAATACGTAAAAAAGTTAATTTTTCTTATTTTGATAATTAATCAGACTATGTGTATATGTTATTAGAACTTTGATGAAGGTCAGATTCCATTTTATGCCAAAGTGAGGGCAGAGACAAAAATAATTCTGAAAGGGTCATACAAATGTTCGGATCACTGAAGGTACTCAATGAATGTATATACATTTTCTAATTTAGTATTATTTTCTAATTTATTGTTGACATTTATAAAAAAAAAACTATTAAGAAAACAAAATGAATAAAATTGTCATTGTGCTTGTGACTTGGAAACCTTTGACTGCTATTGTTCTTAATTGATGAAGACCATTGTTCTTGTATAAAGGCAGAATGTATTTTCTTTGTATTGTCTGTTGTGTAGAAGATCGACTAGCAAGAAAAGAAGTCCAGATTTTGTCACCTCTACGCCAGCTAAAGTTTAAACCTCTTATCTGTTCTTAAACCATCTTAATCACTAAATTCAAATAAGTACTGGACTATCATTTTCTTTATAACTACTCAAAAGTTCTTGATTGTTGGTCTCTGTAACAGAAAATCAGGGAATCTCCATGAAAATGGACTGTACACTGAGACCCCCTGCACAGACACTACATTTTCTTTGTTCTCGTCTGTCCAAGCCCAATAGGTATTCAGAATGTTGGAAGTAAATTTTAGGCGATTAAAAAGGACAGCAAATCTTTAATATAGATTGGCTATTACTTCACAGCCTTGCAGAAGGATCCAACATGTAGGGTTATAACAACTAAATTCTTACTTTGGAGAATATCCTTAAGATTAAGTTGTCTCCAGCTGTTAATGTTAAATATCTGTTTTAGTCCCCGATTCAAAGAAAATATGATGTAGTATTGCCATTTTCCTTTTGCCCACATTTACGCAAGCTGTGACCTTTCTTGTCCTCACTTGACTTACTCTTGCCATTTTTCCAAGCTCTACCCACATGGCATTGCATTTTTAAATAAGGCTGGTATACGATCTTGCTTAAAATTACGTGTAACACAAAGAAACCCAATAATTGTTTCTCGCGTAAACAACACAGAGGCCAAGGAGTTGTTTGCCGTGAGAAGTCATTGGTACAATAAAGTTTGCCATGTTTATCTATATTAATATGGAATATTCCATGACAAGATGGCCGTTGAGAGGCCCTCAGTTGATGTTAAAGTATATGACAGAGACCTGACAAGTCCGTTCTATAGCAAAATGACTATTCCTCCAATGCTGTATATTTAATACAATGTAAATAGCTGGATATATAATTTATTTGTGAGGGGAACGAGGGTTTTTATTTGCTCACATCTGCTAGATGTTGCAGAACCAAAATGACAGTGATGTATTCGACTTTAACAATGTCCCCCTTAAGAGATACATCAACCCCCTCCCCCCCAAAGCTGAAATAAACTTGTAATAAATAAAATACATCATGTCTCAAGACTCTTTATTATGTGATTTTATTTGGTATGTGATTTTATTTTAAGGCTTTTTAGGCAAGTAACACATTATACTATCTTATTTTCAAGCAAATGCATCAATCACGATGAGCAAGGACTAACTTTTTATAGATATGAAGAATATATAAAAAAATAAATAAAAGGGGGGGGGGAGGACTTTAACACAAACTGGTTCTGTCATCATGTGGCAGAAATATGTTAATTAATTACTATGAGGAGAACTGATTATTTGCATACGGCTCTGCACAGTAACGTCACAAATTAGGGATTTGAATGCTTTAATTCCTCTTGATAATTTTGCATTTGCTTTAAAACTAAACTCTGCACTGGGGTGTCCAACCTTGTCCTTCCAAGTTGTCCGTGGACTACAATTCCCAGAATTCAGGATAATAGAGTAGCAGCCAAAAGGAAAAAAGGTTGGACGTCCCTTCTCGTTCAGGCTTTATGCACTTAAAATCAAAACTAAATTGAAATGGTTTCCTAATGGCAACATTTAGACTAAAATAGCTGAGCTGGAAAAATTCTCCAAAAATTCTCCAACATTATAAAATCAATGATTTGCTACTTTAGCCTGAATTAAGAGTGTGTTCAGTTGACAATAACTTGAAATTGAGAGAAAAAGCGATAATATAGAACATGTATCACGTGGCAAAATGTACGTGGCTTTCTGCTTGTAAACATCCCATCACCAAATCTTGGGTATTAATACGGAGTACTTCCCTGCCCCTTCTTTTTGGCTGGCTTTTCACTAAAAGTTGGAATAATGCAAGCATTTACCTCTGGTCAGTAATTAATCATGTTGGACATTTAAGACTGGCTCATATGTGGCATTCCAGAAGGAGTCTGATAGGTTTAACCCCTTAAGGACACATGACATGTGTGACATGTCATGATTCCCTTTTATTCCAGAAGCTTGGTCCTTAAGGGGTTAAGGTTAAGGCCCTGTGCATGTCTGACAGGTTCTTCTACACTGATTTCTCAATACATTTCAGTATACACCTTGCGTTATGTACTGCTGTATTGCCATAATGATTTGTTATTACAGAAATTGCATTTCCACTGCTCGAGTGCCCACTGCAGCCAGTTTTTGGCATTTTATACAGTGGCTGCTTGATTAAGTGTGGCTGCTTGATTAAGGAAACGGATTTCAGGAGGAACCTGGTGAACTGATGTCGCGTTCAGTAGCCAAATCTACTGGTTAGAAGGGCTGTCCATGCACTTTTCTGGCAAAGTTAAGCAGACAATGGCAAATCAGACACTATCACATGATGACAGAATACACTTGTCTCAGATCTGCTTTAAAAACCCAGAAGCATTTTTAAAATCAAATTGTCTCAGATTCCACAGATGTTGATTATCAGAAAATCAGTAAACTGCCACATACTAACACAATAGGGATTCTAGCTCAAGAATCTGTGTCTTGTGTCAAATATTAGACTTTTCCCCCCAATAATAAGGCTTTCACTTTTTTTATTTTTTTGTTAATATCTTTTTATTAGGATTTCACATAAATAAGACAATAAGGCAATCAGTAAGACCCGCACATCTCAATAGAATAATATAAGGATAAAGTGTGTGTGGAGACTAGCAGGCTTCCAGTTATAAAACATCACTTGAGACACGCAGGACTCTGTTTTAAGGAACACATCGCATAGAACTAAAGAGGACAAATGTGGCAGAACTGGCCAATTTTATAGTGCAGGATAGCTGGTGAACAAAATAAGATCAAATAAAATTCCAACGTGCTACCTCGGTGGCCGGTAGCCGATCGTTAATGCGAGGATCATGTTCACAGACATGGCAGCTACCAAGAAACAAAGCCATGAGCTTCATGAAACGTTGAGGCATAAATTTTGGCCACCATAATAGTAATGGTCCAGTCCGGTTATCCCAAACCATGGGGATTAAAGGGGAGAAAAAAAGAGTCGAGAAAGAGAAAGTTTAGAAGGGGGGTGGTGGGAGAGGTAAGGAAAAAGGGGGTAAAATCTCCCCACCTATCCCCACCCCTGCCCTTATTGCAAGTTATTCCTCACCCGCTCTGTATGCTCCCTTACGAGTCTACCTCCTGTCCTGTCTATTCAGTTGGGACATGTGCTCTATCATACGAGTGGTTGGAAGTCAGCAGATGCCGTGGTAAGTATCCAATGGGTCCAGATGCCTAGATATATCTGTATCTTCAACTGGTCTGGAAGAAAAGTTTCCCTCATTTATTTTTTATAATTTCCAGCCCACCTATCACAGCAAACCACTAATTTGAGTTCATCATAATAATACTAAGAATCTATTGAGTTATTTTCACCGTGTTCATTCTGAGAAGGAGGGGCCATACAGAGATCACTGTGTTCCGTCTTCATTCTGAGAAGGAGGGGCCATACAGAGATCACTGTGTTCCGTCTGAGAGGGAGGGGCCATACAGAGATCACTGTGTTCCGTCTGAGAGGGAGGGGCCATACAGAGATCACTGTGTTCCGTCTGAGAGGGAGGGGCCATACAGAGATCACTGTGGTCCGTCTGAGAGGGAGGGGCCATACAGAGATCACTGTGTTCAGTCTGAGGGGGAGTGCCATACATAGATCACTGTGTTCAGTCTGAGAAGGAGGGGCCATACAGAGATCACTGTGTTCTATCTGAGAGGGAGGGGCCATACAGAGATTACTGTGTTCCATCTGAGGGGGGCAGGGTCATACAGAGATCACTGTGTTCCGTCTGAGGGGGAGGGGCCATACAGAGATCACTGTGTTCCGTCTGAGAGGGCGGAGCCATGCACAGATCACTGTGTTCTGTCTGAGAAGGCTGGGTCATACAGAGATCACTGTGTTCCGTCTGAGAGGGAGGGGCCATACAGAGATCACTGTGTTCCGTCTGAGAGGGAGGGGCCATACAGAGATCACTGTGTTCAGTCTGAGAGGGAGGGGCCATACAGAGATCACTGTGTTCCGTCTGAGAGGGCGGAGCCATGCACAGATCACTGTGTTCTGTCTGAGAAGGCTGGGTCATACAGAGATCACTGTTCAGTCTGAGAAGGAGGGGCCATACAGAGATCACTGTGTTCAGTCTGAGAGGGAGGGGCCTTACAGAGATCACTGTGTTCCGTCTGAGAGGGAGGGGCCATACAGAGATCACTGTGTTCAGTCTGAGAGGGCGGGGCCATGCATAGATCACTGTGTTCAGTCTGAGAGGGATGGCCATACAGAGATCACTGTGTTCCGTCTGAGAGGGAGGGGTCATACAGAGATCACTATGTTCAGTCTGAGAGGGCGGGGTCATGCATAGATCACTGTGTTTAGTCTGAGGGCGGGGCCATGCATAGATCACTGTGTTCAGTCTGAGAGGGAGGGCCATACGGAGATCACTGTGTTCTGTCTGAGAGGGAGGGGCCATACAGAGATCACTGTGTTCCGTCTGAGGGGGCAGGGTCATACAGAGATCACTGTGTCCAGTCGGAGAGGGCGGGGTCATACAGAGATCACTGTGTTCTCTCTGAGGGGACGTGGCCATACACAGATCACTGTGTTTGGTCTGAGGGGGAAGGGCCATGGGGTGTAGCCATGCACAGATCACTGTGGTCGGTCTGAGTGGGCGGGGCCATGTACTTATCACGATGGTCAAATTGAGGGGGCGGGGCCATGCACAGATCAGGTTCCCTCAGACTGAATACAGCGATCGCAGAGTCCTAGAGCCTCTGTTCCGGTCAGCAGACACCAGGCAGGAGGTAGGGAAGAGACTTATAACAGGCAGAGTAGGCGTCCCCATCAGGCATGTGCATCCTCTGCCTAATGTGACATCTCCAAAGTGGAAAAACAAAATTGAAATCCGACCTTAATCAAAAGAAGATATGGTACCTAAGGATACCTAAAAAAACCTGAACATAGTGTAGTATGATAAACCAAGTGAGTGAACATGCAAGAGTTCAGGATCATCACCACTATTAGGGTGTATCTAGAGATATATGTTCTTTGCTCTTAGATGATATAAATCTTTTTAAGCTTGGAATGAAGCAAAATAGAGAAAATATAGTGCAGATTCAATGTACAAAAGTATTTATTATTAAAATTGCACGAGAAAATCAGTAAAGCAGGCATATGTCCACTCCCAGTGCATCTAGATGAGGTGATTCTGGAATGTGTGTAAATCCTAGAGGCATGATGAGTTGTCTTATCCAACGTGTTTCGGCAACTGGACTTCCTCAGGGATATCTCTGCATAACTCATGATAAAATTGAGTTTTACTTCTTCATACCACATGGCCTTTAAATAGAAGCATTACTGTTTCCTTTAAATATTTAAAAACTTCAAAACTGCAAATTGTAATGCACAAAATGAGCATCACTGTGGGTAAAGCAGATGTCTGCTAAAAATCAAAAACATAAATTATTAAAATGTTTCTTCTCCCCAAGTGCAGATACTAGCCCTAATTCAGTTTATCGGAGTACCTTTTTGGGACTCCTCAGAATCACTATTGCACCCTGTAAAAATAGTCAACTTCCCAAAAACACTGACGGGTGCCTGACCGATTTTTTGTTTTAATTAAAAGGTCCTAGCACATTTTGATTAATTTCATAGTTACCGCCTTTCTTCTGTCCTTCTTACAAGGCCCAAGAAATGTAACATGGTTTTACATTTGTTACCAGAAACCTTTTTTTTTTTTTTTTGTATATAGTACCCTAAATTAAAGATGTTTTGGGAAAACAAAGTGCTGGCATTTAGTGACAATAGATGTCATTCATTCTTTATCTTTACAGCCTATGGAGGCATCCTGGTGTCTCCCTGTAACTTTATAAATAGATGAACCTAACACACATCCTACATGGCAGGGCTATAGTCTGTATAGATAACAGAAATCATTCTAAATTATTAATGCTAATCACATGTGTATAATTGCTTAAGTGCTTTAAATGATCGCTTTGCAAGATAGATTGTTTCCACCCTTTAAAGTGTGGCTGGCTTGGTGACAGCCATGTATTCAGCAGCTGGTGACTAAAGACAGACTGGAAGCGGCCACTAGTTCTCCCATCCAACAGATGGACAACGGGACTTATCCCGCACAACTTCTTCACTCTGCAGACTATTAACACACACTGGGTAAAATAGATCTTTCATACTGAGAATGCTCAGGATCTGCATTGTCTGCTCAATCTGAGCTCTGGGGGGCTGAATGACCCCTCGGCTTCGGCTTGTTCCACACACAAGATGTATAGAGAAAAAGGTGCGGGCCGCTTTCAGAAGGACAAAGGTCTTTTTGAATGATAGACTGGGATAAATCGGCCCGTGAATTAAGAATGTCAAGAGTTACAGCATGTAAAAGGAGCCTTCTTTTACTATCTCAGTTTTGAATTATTTTTTTTTTTCCCCAGCGTGTTGGCTGTCCTGTGGTCATGTCACACTGCGGGGCTGTCTGACATTTTTGGCCCGGGGGCAAAATTATACATTTTGTGTTAACAAACAAAACAAAAAAAAGTTTCACACACTCTAGTTTTATTTTTAACTTAACATTTTTTTCACACTGAGTTGGGAATATTGCTAGAGTGTAGATTTTGAGCATGAAACGGTGTGCAGAACATTTTTTTCGGTTTCAGGTATACAAATACACAAACTCACGGACACATTGATGACACTCCCTTATAGGAACACAAAGGGGGATTTCTCTCTACATACTGGAATTTAATGAGAAAATGAATTGCAAAATCTAGGTTAAAACAGGCAAACTGTAAACATGGCTGATTTGGATATTTGTTTGCAAATTTGTGATTTTAGCCTTAGTTTTGCAATTAAGCTTTCAATTTACTATAATATGTGGTTTAGTAAGAAATCTTTAAACTCATGCACACAGTCATGCACATGTGCATGGGTTCAGGAATCGGTGGGGGGACGACGACGACGATGACAGACTCTAGTGTATCTTTTAAAATCATATGCTTCACTCTTTATGAAAGATAAGAAAAACAAGACACGTTAAAAGAGCCTTTTATCTAATTCTGCGAATAGGTTCCCAGGTGATAATACTTAATTTTGCCTACAGAAAACTATTTCTTTACTATGTCGATGCATGTATGCTCATATACCAACACATACGTATGTATATTAACATGTAGGCACAGACTCACATCACCCAGAACACTATATGCCAAGGCTCACAATTTCAACTCATCCCTAGCCAAATTTATAAATTCATCCCAGGTGAACACAGTATGAATCGCAAGTGCAAGCAACAAGGTCTGGCTATTAGGATATTACTACAAAATGTAAACCCTGCTATGTGCTACAGAAAATCTCATGGAAACAATTTTAAAAACAGAATGACATTATACAACATAACAACAACATGCATTTTTCATATCACAGAACATGAATTCTAATCTGTATTGAAAAAACTGGAGCGAAATATCCACTTGTAGACAATGGTTTCATATTACAATTATATTTCAACTTACCATTTTATCTCCTGCTCTGTGAATTGAATTTTAATCACACGCAGGGGGTCCTGTAGGCACTAGAAGGCTATTAACAGTAGGTAAGAAATTCTAGATCAAACAGAGTTTAGCAAAGTTTAAACATTAGTGCTCTCTTTACAGAAAATATGGCTCCACCCCTTACTTTTAGATCACCCCGCCGTGCCTATCCTTTAAGGCCAGCCCACTGAGAGCAGACCCTGCAGTGAGCACTGTTTCAGTGCTGTAATCAAGGTTCTTGTACCCTGAACACAGTGCGAGATGGACACCAGGGTACTGACTTGAGACAGCACTCAAAAATCAAGACAGTCCAGCCAGAATCGGGATGGTGGAGAGGCATGAACCAAGGCTGCATAAACAAAGTGATTTAAGAAAATTGAGTAGTGAGACTGCAGGGCCTGATCTATATACCAGCAGGTGAATAAGAGCCTCTTTTTGCGCCACAATAACACACGATTGCCGTACACATCCTCTTGAACGCTTCTGAGTCAATCTATGTCTCAGTTATTTTAACAGTGTCATTTGTGTTTATGGAAGAAGAACAGTAAAGACAATGTAACAGAAATTTATTTATGGATGGATATCCTTACTCCAAAATGAGACTGCTCTATCTGTACTTCAGAAAAGTCTGATCCATATCTACATATAATATGATTACAATGACCAATTGCCGACATTGGAATCTACATCTTATACCGTTTACACCTGTACTTGTGATTGCCAGCAAAATATATTTCCCATAATTATCGTGCATTAAAGAAGGAGCCTGGTCAATTTAAATGTCATGAAGAATCAAGCCAGTGATCTGATTGAATACATATTAACTCATCATCATCGAGCAGATACATTTTGCAGAAAAGAGCACAGAGCATTACAAATGGGCAAGAACCAATCATTACCAGTCACCAAATGTTGCACTATGGTAGAGATGCCAAAATCAAATCTAATTAACATCCCACTCAGTTGACAACATCACTAGGGTACCAAATATCCTAGATGAGTCCTCTGTTCATTTAAGCATGGTTTCTTGGAAGATTCCATCGAATCCCTCTGGATGTAAAAGAAGGTTATATTTAAATTTTTTGTGTGTGCGATATATACTTCACGTGCCACAAAATAATGATGGCCAAGCATTGTACAACAGAGGTTTCTGAAGTACAATTTTACATGACGTTCAGCCATCAACATGCATAATGTCAAGGTCAGACCCAGCTGCCTTTTGTGTCCCTAAAAATCCCCCACCATCAACATGTGCTAATGCAGATTATCCATAATTGTCTGTATTTGCAATAGTACTGAATACAAGAACAAAATATTCAGGAATGGCCAAAATATACAGTAGGGTTTGAGAAGCCAAAAACTGTTTTATTACTGAACCAATGTCAATGATATTACATACAATGAAGACTTAACATGTGGAAATGGTACTATGTATGGAAGACCTCTTTTAAATGGGCTCCATTTGCCATTTTGTAAAGTCGGGCCCTTTCGATTGCATTGTTCATAACATTAGTTAACGTTTGAGGCGCTAGCGATGACATTTCTCCATGGATATTCACCTTAAGTGTACACTTTTTGTTCCTGTACTATGCTCCTTCAGATATCCCCACAGGAAATAATCGAGAGCTGAAAGGTCGGGCAAACGTGGCGGCTTACCTTGAAGTGGTGGCAGTAAGCACTATGCGTCAAAAATATTAGACCTTCCATTTTGAAAATAAAATTAGACAATTTTTACATGTTGTTTCTTTGTGACATTACCCATGATGAATCTTCCAAGACTCAGTTATAATATATACCTGCAAGTAAAACAAGATGTTTACATTGCAGCACAAAGTCTGCCTACAGTGGCTGTCTGGGGCGCTTCCTTGATCGAAACGGACCTTTGGTCCAGTATCGGACACTGGACATCCTCATGCTCTGCATGAGGACATCCAGCGTCTGATTTCCCCCCTTAGGAAAGCAATGGTTCAATGCTTTCCTATGGGGTGGTCTAATGCCTGCATGTAATTTGCCGCACATGAGCATTAGTGCCGCTTGTTGGAGGGGGTGGAGCGTCGACCCAGTGCAGAGTGAAATCGGCGCTGGGATAAGGCGAGTACATACAGCTATGTATTCCTGGTACTATAGTATCCCTTTAATAAAGTACTGCCGGTTTCCCCATGATGGCAGCACTGCTAATAGTAACACATATGAATTGGAAGTGGAGCTTGAGAAAAATCAGGACTAAAAGATACCTTGTGTACATAGAACTTTTTTTCATAATTCATTGAAGCAGATTCGTCTGTTTTAATATTAGAGCTCACAACAACCATAAAAGGAGTTTTAACCCCGTAAGGACCAAGCTTCTGGAATAAAAGGGAATCATGACTTGTCACACATGTCATGTGTCCTTAAGGGGTTAATAAAAAGCATTTCACATCTTATTTATCTCATCCCTTGTTGCACCAGTTTTTCTTCAACATTGCTTTGGGGAACTTAAAAATATTGGTCTAACAGGCTTATTTACTAAAGATAGAATTCAAAGTGGACTTTTTAACTTGATGCCAAAGGAGCCAAACTGAAAGCATAGTTAGCTGAGAGATGTTTATTGGCTATTTTGACTTTGAAACTAATTTTTCAATTCTCACTTTGGTCAATAACCCTGTAACAGGTATTGAGTTCTAGAACATTTCCAAATTGGGTATTTTGTTCCAAATGTAAATGTAAAAATGTTTTTGAAAACTATTGCGTTTGATTATTACGACCTAAATGTTTGAATAAAAGTCTACAACTGACCGCATGATATTGCACAGTTGAGTATAAAACTCTGTAAATAAAAATACAAAAAATAATTATACAAAAAGTTTTTTCTGTAATAAAAAAAATGCACACTATATATATATAAAAAATAAGTGTTTGTCATTTCTATTAAACCATAGTTTACGCTTTTTATTAATGTGCTTAAGGGCTTTAATACAAATTTGCAAAATGCGCATCCCACTAATTAAGTCAATAAGGCACCATTCTTTGGGACAGATTCACACTTTGCATGTGAAAGGGCCTAGCTAAATCCTTCACTATGGCTGCGGATAGCAGAAGGATTGTTCCTCGATCAGGGTTAATGAAGTAAGCACAGAGTCTATCGATGGCAGCATGCAAACAAAAAAAAAAAAAACCTTCGGCTCAATGAAACAAACCCATAGACAGAATCCAACATGGATTGACTTAAACCCAAGAGATAAGTGCTTTAAATTAATCTCATTGAATAAGAATGAGACCAAACAAAACTATTTAAAATTATATTAAAAACCGATCAAAGAGAAAACTTGCAGTAGGGGGTGTGCAACTCTTTTTTTACGACGTCTGAAACACAGCCGGCATCTCTGAAATTTACGCAGACAAAATGGAAATCACAACTAGCTTCTCCAATATTTAATCTCACTTGTACCGCAGAGAGCTTCCACGCACGATTAATAAAACACAACATTTTATCTGCTGCATGTTTCACAGACTTCATTTAAAGAGAGCCTGTCATTGAAATAAATTTTCCCTTAACCATTGGGAAATGAAGTATTTCCCGTACATTTGCAAACAGTTAAACATTTTTTTTTTTTTTAAATAATATATTTTAAAATAATTAATTATGTAATTATATAAAACGGACAGTTTTGTTAAAAA